GCCAGGAGGGGGCAGAGAGGGGGGATGAGTCTCTGGAGCCAAGGCCCCAGCGCCAGGCCCCGAGGGAATGGCCTCAAGCTGCCCAGGGCAGGGTCAGGCTGGCTCTGAGGAAGGATTTCTGTGCAGAAGGGGCTGTTGGGCGTTGGAATGGGCTGCCCAGGGCAGGGGGGAGTCCCCGGGATCCCTGGAGGGGTTGAAGAGTCGGGCTGAGCCAGCGCTGAGGGATCTGGGGGAGCTGGGAACGGTCAGGGGGAGGGTCAGGGTTGGGCTGGAGGAGCTGCAAGGGCTTTTCCAACCGAGATGATTCTGGGATCCCGACACCGTCTCTGTCTCCTCCACATGCAGGGAGAGACCTGGCCCTTCTCCTGGCTCAGATGGAGGAGATGATGGAGAAGCTGCAGCAAGTCAACCGGAGCCTGGGGCTGATGCTGGCGGCTGTGGAGGATGCCCAGAGCCAGCTGAAGAACCATCCGCAGCACCTCCACGCTGTCCTTGACCCAGCTGGTGAGTCAGGGGTGGGTGCTGGTGGGCCGATGGGTGCTGGTGGGTGCCAACACCAGGCTCTTGCTCCCTGTCCCACAGGTGCCATCTCCACCTCCATCCTACGCGGCTCTTGCTTGGTGTTGCTGGCTGTGCTGCTCACACCGCCCCGCGCCATCCTCCTCCTCCTCCTCTTCTTCCTCGCCTCCAGCACCCTCAGCGTCCCAGCGCTCTCTGCTCTGCTGGTGTTCACCACGGCAGGTGGGAATGGGTGTGTGTGGGGGAACTGTTTGAGGATGTGCCACCCTGGGGGTGCTACAGGGGTGGGCTGAGGGGGCGGTTCTTGCCCTCTCCCACCCTCTTGCCTCCCCACAGGTCAGTGGCTGGTGGCAGCCGCTCGCTGCGGTGCTGGGGGGCTCTGGCTGGTGTTTCCCCAGGAGGAGCCTTGTCACCGGTTCACCTCCACCCCGGACAGGTAGGAGATGGCGGTGTGGGGAGCACAGGGATTGGTACGGCACGCTTGGGAGCTGCTAGGACCCAGCCTGGGCACCCATCCTGGACATCCCACCCTGCTGCCATCTGGCTGAGGTCCCCAGGGTGGGCTGCTGCTTCCCAGGAGGGGGTAGGACACATCTCGATGACTTTTGAGCACCTCGCCCCAGCTCCCTGCCCTACTGCCCAGAGGAGGGTGTTGGGAGGCTGGAGAGGGAGCTGCCATCATGATGATGACACCAAAAGCTGTCAAGACGATGGGGCTCTGGTCTTCCTTCTTCCCTCGTAGGGAGTGCAAAATGGAGCTGTTGCGGGAGGAGCTGGACAGGATGGAGATGAGCTGCCTGCGAGGTGAGAACTGGCCGGGGCAGGGGGCAGGGGGAGAGATGACCATGAGGTGGGAGATGCGGTGGCTGTAGGACAGGGATCCGAACACCCAGCATGTCCCCCAAGCACCTACAACCACCCCAGGGTGTCCCCATCCAACCCCTGGGGACAGCAGCACTGGCAGCGTGCCACCACCCGTGTCATGTTCTTGCAGAGCCCTCATGCACCAAGCAGCCCCCAGCGGTGGCAGGGGACCTCCCTGGCTTAGCGGAGTGGGTGTCACCTCTCCCCGGTGGCTGGAGGACAAAGCTGAGCTCATGTGAGGTAAGCCTGAGCTGGGAGTGGGTGCTGGGATGTCCCTAGATTGGGGTAGACTCTGCTCCTGGAGGCCACCCTGGGTCCCCCTGAGGGTCAGGCGCTCTAAGGCTGGGGGTGTCCTCACTGTGACTGCACCCCTGGGTGCTGGACACCCTGTTGGGAGAGGGACCAGGGCTGGTCCTGCAGCGCTTGGGACGTGATGCTGAGAGGACTTGTAGGGGGAGGGGGTGTCCTCCAAGGCTAGATGGTCAAGGCACCCATCCTCTAATGACCCCCATGTCCCCAGGGGACATTTCCTGTGGGACAGGAGGATCACCAGAGACAGAGGGTGCCCTCTCAAACCTCTTCTTCCCCAACCAGGCACTGCTGGAGCCAGACACGGGCACTGGGAAGCACTGGGAGCCCAAACGGGGCAGCCCGAGGCAGTCTCTGGCCAGTGGCACGTGAGTACCAACTGCAGAGGTCACCCCTTCTGCAGGGACACCAAGGGCTGGTGTCACCTCGGGATGCAGCAGTGACCTGACAGGGCAGGGACACCCCCCTTGGGGGGCTTCCTGGGGTGCTGATGGGTCTCTCCTCTGTAGGTCCTTGCTGTCCCCACGGTCCCTGTGCCAGGGGGTCACCAGGGCCGGGCAGCGATGCCGGAAGAAAGCCGCCCCCGGGCAGGACTTCTGCCACATCCACGCCGTTGGTCCAGGCTCCTGCAGCCGCTTGCCCACGGACTCGTCCCCTCATGTCTGACTCCCTCCCTCCCTTCCAGAGGGGTTTTAAAACTCTTTTATTTGCTCTTCCAGATCCTGGAGGAGAACACAGGGTGGTGCTCAGGGGCCCTAAGGGCACCATTTGATGTGGGTGTGGGATCGCGCTGTGTAGCAGATACTCTTCATCCCACCAGTTTTACGCTATTTGCATATATTTTAATAAATGCCATATTTACAGCTGGAGCCTCCCCCATTCTGCACTCCCCCCCCACACCCCCTATCCTGATGCTGGGGCAGGGGTGGCTTTTCTGGGGGCTTCAGGACCATCCCCACCTGCCCAAACAGCAAATGCCTGGCTGCTGTTCCTGCGCTGCAGAAGCAAGCCCTGATCACCTGCCCTTTATTACAGCCTAATTACAGGTAATTAGCAGTGTTGCCTGCTACAGCTCAGCCAGAGCCACCAGCCTCTTGGACAAGGCAGCAGTGGTGGCTCCAGTTGGCTGCTACCACCTGGTTTGGGGTTCTCCCAGTGCCTTTAGGGTGCCCTGACCTTTCTGCCCCTGCCCTGGGCGTCCCGCGCTGCTCACTGGGCTCTTGTCCCCTTTTTACTTTGGAAATGTCACTGTCACCCCCCCAGCCCTGTCCTTTGCCCCAGCAAAGGACAACCCTGAGTTGAAGAGGATGATGCTGGGGCCGTGCTGGCCCGTCACTTCCTGGCATCGGCGTAGTTGGTGCTGAACCAGGCGCAGGTCTCCTTCACGGCTGGGGAGGGAGGAGATGGGATGGCATTGGGGATGGGGAAAGCAGTTTGTTCATAGAATCATCAAATGGTTTGGGTTGGGAGGGACCTTTGAAGGTCAGCTAGTCCAACCCCCCTACAATAAGCAGGGACATCTTCAACCACATCAGGTTGCTCAGAGCCCCATCCAACCTGGCCTTGAATATTCCCAGGGAAGAGGCATCGACCACCTCTCTGGGCAACCTGGACCAGTGTCTCACCACCCTCATTATAAAAAAATTTCTTCCTTAGATCCAGTCTGAATCTACTCTCTTCTAGTTTAAAACCATTACCCTCATCCTATCACTACAGGCCCTACTAAAATGTCTATCCCCGTGTTTCTTACAAGCCTCCTTTAAATATTGAAAGGATGAACCACCCCGATTGCAGTGGGTAGGATCTCCGTATTTAGCTGAGGGATCTGGTGGAGTTGAGAAGGGCCGGTGTGAGTTTAATGGTTGGACTGGATGATCTTCGGGGTCTTTTCCAACAGAGGTGATTCTAGGATTCTGTATTTTGTGGAGCCCCCCGCCCCTCGTCTCACCTTGCCTGAAGGGTGTGAACTGGAAGTCGGGCAGGTAGAGCCGTAGCTTGGCGTTGCTGGCTGTCTTCTTGAACTGCCCATCTGCCTTGGTGGTGTCAAACTGCGGTGGGAGGGATTAAGGGAAACCAAAGAGAGTTAAAAAAACCCAGATCTGGGTCTGCACCACTGAGTCCTGGCTGGGGCAGGGGGTGGGATGCTTGGGGTGCTGCTCCGGACTGTGGCATCTCCTCTGGAGCTCTGTGGCTGCTGGTAGAAAGTGGGGTGCCCCCCATGCTGCCCTGCAAGCAAGGGGGGCCAGCCTGAAGTGAAGGATACAACAAGCTCCCCCCTGAAGTCCATGGCTTCCACGATTGCCTCTGCTGCCTCCCTAATGGACACTTCATCTTCTTCTCCCACTGTGGAGAAGGGTGTGATTGTGACATTCCTCCATCTTCTTGGAAAGGGGCTGGACCCCCTTGCTGTAGGGGGGGGGGGGG